CTTCATCGTGGGGCTGTAGTGCGCCCGCGGGGGCTGCCAGGCCGGCCGGGGCCTCTCCGACGCCGGCGTCGCCGCGGCGTCCTTCAGGCCCAGCGCGCCCACGTAGCCGAGGTAGGCGGACTGGCTGTCGGAGGCGCCGCCGAAAGCGGGCAAGGCGACCTTCGGGCCGCTGGGTGCCTCCTCCGCCATGGCCAGCACCGCCGGCCCAGAGGGCGACGCCCCTGCTAGGAGAAGAGCAATCGGCATAAGCTCTAACGTTCGGAGGTCCGCGCGGATTTTAAGGATCGGCGCTGGACCCCTCTCCGTGGCGCGCGGAGCGCGCCAGGGACGGCGCCAGAGGCGCCGCCACTCTGGAAGTGTATGAATGATTACGGTCAGACCTGGGGCACAATAACATCCTTCAAGAACATTAGACCCTCCGCCGGCCAAGCTGAAGAACATTCGAGGGCACCCTCAGGATGCACAAGAGCAGCGGACAAACACGAAGAACATGAGGGTGCCCTCCCCGAGCCGACCTCGATCTTTATACCTCGGTCCGAGCGTATGAGTAGTGAGTTCTTGCCTTCGGCCTGCCCCTGGCCCTCTCGCGCGCAGCTCCGCCACCGAGATGGCCCGCGAGCTCGACGGGCTGCTGTCGGACACGCCCGCGCTCAAGGGCGACGCCCCCGCGCGCGCTGGCGTCAGCGCGGACCCGGGGCCAGCAGGCCTCTGCTTCGGGATGGCGCAGACCGTCTGGAGCCCCGCGGCTGGCTGCTGCATCATGCGGTCGAAGTGGACGCACCAGGCCAGGTCTGCGGAGGCGTACTTGGTGCCGGTCGTGGCGTCCAGGTAGACCAGCTGGCCAGGGCGCGACTGAGAGGGCCTCACCGTGAAGCCCGGGGGCAGCTCGCCGTCAGTGTGCGCCCCGAGTGGCGCCAGCTGCGAATCGTGCCTGTACAGCGACTTCTGCTTCGGCTCGTCCTCGATGTAGAAGCGTGCCGTGAGCACATCCTGGGAGCCCTCCGTCCGCACCTCCACAAGCCGGGCCACGTACCAGCACCCAGAGGTGGAGGAGAATATCTCCAGCACCGAGCCCTCGTTCCATGCCTGCCGCGCGCGGGCCTCTTCAGCATCTCTGGCTGATTGGCCTGGGGCGCCAACTGTGCGCGTTCGCCGATCCAGGACGGGCCCACCCTGCACCCAGGATCGATGTGCACGGCCTCCTGCTTCGGCCAGGAAGGTATACACACCGGCCCTGGGCCAAGGAGCAGCCCTGCCGGGACCGGTGCAGGTGTCCAGTTGGCGCGCTCGGATGGCCGCCGCGTGCCGCTGCGGCCCCTGGCGGCGGCCTCGTGACCCCGATGTTCTGGTGTGCGGGCGCGTCGGCGTAGGGCGCCGAGCTCGCGGGGCGGTGCTCCTGTCGGCTGCACGCAAGGAGTGGCCCCGGGCATAAGAGTGGCCCCTGCGCGGCTCAGGCGGGGGGCCCTCTGGGGACACCGCCAGGCGCGCAAGCCGCTGATATCGCCTCGCATCCTTGGCGGCGCGCACAAGGGGGTGGAGGGAGGGGGGAGGGCTTCGTAGAAGGAGGCTGCTTCTTAGAATTCGCCGGCCTTACATCTACAGTTAAGGCCCGCGCCTTCTAAAAGAAGCAGGGGTGCTTCTGAGAAGCCCTCCCCCCTCCCCCCACCCCCCTCTGCGCGTGGCCGACATTCCGCGAGCGGGGGGCCCACTGGCCCCGCACCCCGAGGCCCCTCTGGCGCGACAGGCCACTCCTCTACGCGCAGGCGCTCCTGGTAGGCAGGCGTCGACGGACCCGGACGGTGCGGGGAGGCCGCCGGGAGGTCGCCGAGGCCCCCCGCGCCGCCGTACTCGGAGCCCGCGGCCGACGCGCGGGAGAAGCACCTCGCGCGGGCGGCGAGCACGGCCACAGCCGCGCGCCCCAGCGGTGCGGGCTCCCGGGCGCGAGCTCGTGCGCGGATGCGTCTGTCGCACGGAGAGGCGCTCCGCGCGCGGGGCATCCGCGCAGGAGCGGCCCGAGTGCCCACGGGGGCGCGGCCCTGCCCGGCCCGAGTGCCCCAGGCGGCGTGTGCGCCCCCAGGGCTTGGCCGGGGAGGCAAGTAGAAAGGGGCCCTGGGACACACACATAAGTACACACAAATAAACAGATTCCCCTATAGTTTCCCATATATTTTCAGTGTTTTTTTTTCCTCCCGAATGTATACCGGTCCTGGGCCCGGGAGGCAGGAGCGCCCAGAAGCGAATCGAGAAGTCGAATCGGCGATCGCAACGCATCGGGTATTGGCGAGAGTCGGCAGCCGGGTTGGGAGCAGCCGAATCGGCAGACATCGGCAGGCAATGAGGCCTCCATCAAGAAATCGAAATCCAAATGAGAACTCGAAGTCCAGTCCGACTGCACTCGGAATCGATTGATACGGCCAGGCCTAGGACAGAAGAACATCCGTCGAGAACATGAGACCCTCCGCTGGCCAACCTGACGAACACTCAAGGGCACCCTCCCCCAGGATGCACAAGAACACCCGACGAACACGAAGAGAACACTAGGGTACCCTCCCCGAGCCGACCTCGATCTTCTGCCTCGGTCCGACCGCATCAAATCCTAGGTCGGGCATGAACCCCTACAGGCGGATTTGGGCGCGAAAAATCGAAGATACTCAAAAAACAAACACCCAAAGAGCCAAACATGATCAAAACATCGTCCACCTACTATTGTTTGACTATCTTTGCATTTTCCTCCTGCAGGGGGACAGGCCCCACTTAATACTAGGGCACCCTCCCCGAGCCGACCCAGAATCGTCCACCTACTAGTGTTTGACTATTCTTGCATTTCCCTCCTGTAGAGGGACAGGCCCCACTCACTACTATAGGGCACCCTCCCCGAATCGACCGCATCAAACCCGACCCGGCCCGACCGCATCAAACCCTCGGCCTCGGCCCGACCACATCACGAGGGGGGCCGTCGAGAGGAGCGGCCCTCGGGGCGGAGAGCCTCCGAGAGAGCTGCGCGTCCTCGGGAGGCCAGCTCGGCCTCGGAGGGAGCTTCGGCCTCGGCCCGACCGCACCACACCCGAGCCGACCCATGACGAGCCGGCGTGCGCCCCGAGGGGCCCAGCCGGCGGCGGAGCATATGCGGACGGGCCTCCCGCGGGCCGCGGCAACGGGCGGGCGGGGCCCCGGGGTGCTCCTCCTGCTCCTCCTCCTGCTCCTCCTGCTCCTGCTCCTCCTCCTCCTCCTCCTCCTCCTCCTCCTCCCTCCCTCCCTCCTCCTCCCCCCCTCCCTCCCCCTCCTCCTTCTCCTCCTCCTCCTCCTCTCCTCCTCCTGATCCTACGACTCCGCCTCCTCCTCCTCCGCCTCCTCCTCCGCCTCCTCCTCCTCCTCCTCCTCCGCCTCGGGCCCCAGCACCGGGAGGGCGCGGCCCCCGGGCGCACTGGGACGTCCTGCTGCGACCTCCCAGGGGGCGAAGAGCGGCATAGTCCCAGACCCCCTTGCGTTGGGAAAAAAATCACGACGGGAAGCTTGTCGCTGTTTTCGGCCCCCGGGGGCCCTTACCGGGCCTCGGGACCGTCAAAAAACGATTGAGGATGAAAAACCGGTCCAGGGGAAGGGGTCCAGACCTCTGGGGCCGACGTTGAACAAATCACGACGTCGGGGGTTCTGGGTTGGAGGCCAATCCACAAGAAGCCTTCCACAAGAAACCCAATCCCGAGACCCCAGGGCGTCCATCGATCTTTGGTGTGGGAGCGTCACGCCTTCCACTGCAGAACCAGCGAAGCCCAAGAAACCCAGGTCCCCCTGGAGGCAAGCAGGGTGCTTCTTGGCATGGGTCTCCACTGCACAAGATGAGCTTGTGCGCCGTCGGGGACGCCTGGCCCGGGACGGCTGGAAAGTTTACATACCCTTGCGGTGGCACGTCGGGGTACCCTGAGATCCGACGTTGCCAACAAAGAATCCACCTCGCAAAAAATCACGACCGGAGCCCTGGGTCCTATCTCTCTGCATCATCTTCCGATGCGGATCGACCTGTGAGGGTCCCGGGGCGCGAAATGGAGCGACAGCGCCCGCTGCAAGAAGAAGTTGCAACGCCAGGATCTCAGGGTATGACCTCTCCAGCCGCCCTGGGGCAGGCACCCCCGGCGGCGGAGCAATTTTGCTCACACCGTTCGTCGCCCGCCAAGGCCGCAGGGGCGAGGGCACGCCGAGGTGCGGCGGGGGCGGGGCAGCGCCGAGGTGCGAGGCCGCGTCGAACTCCGAGGCGTAGGAGCTGCACCGCGTTCCGCCCCGCGGGGCGCTGAGCTCGGACCTCGGGGCACCGCGGATTCGCGTCGTGTCCTTGGACGCCCGACATGGGTACGGAAAGAAGGGGTACAATGCCCAACAACAAATGTTGTCCCAAACCAGCAGCGGCCGCTGCTGGGCAGGCGGCCTTCTGTCTCGAATGGACACAGGCCGCGGCGGCGTGGACAGCGAGTCCTGTTGAAGATGAACCAGATCCGCTGTTGGGCATTGTACCCATTCTTTCCGTGCCCATTTCGTTCGTGCAGAGTGTCAGCCGCGGCGTTGGTTCCTGACACCGCGGGCGTCGTTCCAACGTGGAATGATCGGCCGATCGGCCATCCCCGAAACGTCAAATCGCTCCACGTCGACCGAGTCTGGGCCGCCGGCGCCGTTCCACGTTGGACGCCAGCGGCGGGGTCGCCGCCGGTCGACACGACGCGAACCTACCGTACGCACACGGTTACCCCCAACTCTCGCTGTGAATTGGCCACGTTGTACGATTCTTGCCAGTTTTCGGCCTCCGCCGGGCCCTCACCGGGCCTCGGGACCATCAAAAACCGCCCGGGATGAAAAACCAGGCCTGGGGAAGGGGTCCAGACTTCTGGGGGTCGACGTCGTGAATGAATCACGACGTCGGAGTTCTGGGCATGCCAATACTCTTTCTCTGTGGCCCGATTTCGGCCACTCCTTCGGCAGCGGCGGGTTTCGAACTCTGGCCCCCCTGGGCC